GGGGGGGGGGGGCCTGACTCGTTAGAAGAGTACTGTAACTATTTAGGCCCCGATATAATAGGGTATAGAGCTGAGGGCTTGCGAAGGATAGCCCGTCAAGCTGCAGGGCTTGAAGGTGTGTTTGAGGGCTTGAGGGTTAGGGTTTAGGGTTTAGGGTTTAGGGTTTAGGGTTGAGGGTTTAGGGTTTAGGGTTTAGGGTCCAAGCAAGCGGCACGATGAGCATCGGAATGCCCCGGACGCCGAACTTGCCGGCGAGCTCATCCTCCAGCTTGATAATTAAAATTTGAGGCCAAGAATCTAGGGCCAAAACCCCCTTATAGCCCGGACCATAAAACCTAAACCATAAAAAAACCTAAGGCCCTAAACCCCAAACCCTAAACCCTATAGCCTAGACCATAAAACCTAAACCATAAAAAACCTAAGGCCCTAAGCCCCTCTAATTTCCAGCGCAGCTCCCCAGACCTAAGTGGAACCCTAAACCCTAAACCCTAAGCCCTAAAACCTAAAACGCAGCTCCGAAAACCCTAAACCCTAAACCCTAAACCCTAAAACCCTAAACCCGTCCTTCTTCGCACGGTCGGCATAGGGCACGCAGGCCCAGGGCATTTCCTCAGATTTCATGCAACTTCGGACCCGGCCTAAGATGTTATGCTGTAGGGTTTAGGGTTTAGGGTTTAGGGTTTAGGGTTTAGGGTTTAGGGCTTAATGACTAAATAACCAGCATCTATATAAACCCTAAACCCTAGACCCTAAGCCAAACCCTGGACACTAGACCCTAGACCCTGAACCTTAAACCCTAAACCCTCAACCGTAGTTACCAGAGCTTTGACAGAGCTGCCTCGAGTCTTGAGATATGAGTTTGGGACTTTCGAGCTGTAAGTCTCGGAGCTGATGGGTTAAAGCCAAAGTTGTCGTTGAGTGAGGTTAGGGTTTAGGGTTTAGGGTTTAGGGTTTAGGATTTAGGGTTTAGGGTTTAGGGTTTAGGGTTTAGGGTTTAGGTTTTAGGTTCGGGTGTGGGGCTCATGCTGTAGGACTTACGGTGACTTACGTGTCTAGGCGGCGTCGATTCTGAGCATTCGGGCTTAGGGGCTCCTGGTTGGGGCTCATGGGTGCACTTACACGGGGGCCTTCATAACTGGAATAGGGTTCTGGGGGGGGTTCCTTTAAAGGGTTCCTTAAAGGGTTCCATAAGGGGGCTACTATAAGGGTAGGGTTTGGTGGTCTACTACAATACAATTATAACCCAAAATCTACCGGGATATACAAAAGAACCTGAGGAGAACAACGCGGCGGCTCATAGTAGGGGACAAAAACTGAGAGCATACAGGCATACAGTAGTTGGAAGCCAAGTCTCTCCAAAGTACTCATTGAAGCCTGCCTCATCGCGATCGCTGGAAATGAACACAACCTCGGGGCCGTACCAGCTTCCATTAAGATACCAGTAGGAGCAGGACTCGGGAAGTTTACTAGAAAAGTAGCCACACTAAAACCCTAGAAACATGAACAGCTTGAATTCAATTCGGGAAAAACCCTAAACCCTGAACCCTAAACCCTGAACACTAAACCATGAACCCTAAACCCAAACCCCAACTGGCGCCTCTACATCCTTCTCCGCATAGTCTGTGTATGCTTTCGCTAGCACTGGCGTGAATCCGCGGCACGGTGGGCACCAGTGCGCCGAGAAGTAGAGCAGGACGGCTTTCCTGGGCTTTGAGATAACTGCAGAAATAAAAAGGTCAGGGTTTAGGGTTCAAAAGCACTACAAAGCACGCTATCATACTTATACAGCAAGGCTTGATATAACATCAGAATATATACACACCAATCTTGCGAAGGAGCCCTGACATAAAACCCTTGTAAAAACCCAGTGACCCTCATACTGTTGATGGTATAAATCCTGCATTACCTTAAGAACCCTAAACTAGGGGAATTGTGGTATATGCCTTTTGGGTAATGCAGGATTTACTCCCGAACCCCAATAGCCACCGCAGATCCTGATACCGACTTCATGAAACCCTATATTGTAGAGGCCTTGGTAATTAGAATAGGGTTTCGGGGTATATTATACTTTACTATAATCATAATCAGGAACCCCCAAAATAGTATTGGTAATTTTGTTTAGGCCCCTATTTTAAAGCCCTTACAAAAACCTTATAGCACCCCCTCTGAAACCCAATAGAAACCTGTGGAAGCTAACTGAAATTCTCATGCAAACCCTCCTTTCGAAACTAACATAGGGGCCCTGAATTAATAGGGTTTTGGGGTATATTATACTACAATTATAATAAGGAGCCCCCAAAATAGTATAGGTAATTATTAAACCCTAAACCCCAAACCCCCATAATACTAAGGAGCCCCCAAAATAGTATAGGTAGTTATTAAACCCTAAACCCTGAACCCTAAACCCCTACACTCCCATAAGGAGCCCCAAAAATTTATTAAACCCTAAACCCTGAACCCTAAACTCCTAAACCCCTGAACCCCATATGACTCCAGAGCCCGTATAGATAATTCTAACAAGGAGCCCCCCAAAATAGTTTAGATAGTT